TTTTTTTTTTTTTTTTTTTTTTTTTTTTTTTTTTTTTTTTTTTTTTTTTTTTTTTTTTTTTTTTTCTTTCTTTGGTCGTCATTTTTTAGGGGGAGTTTTTTAGGATTGGGCCGGGGTGGCTACCGCCACCTAGAATGCTTCTTTGATGTTACACTGAAAAAAAATCTCGGTGTATTTACCAAGAATAGGGTAAAATTACTGAGAATTCAGGGCTCTATTTGATCCCTGATTTTCAGGATAAAATTACCATTTATGGAATTAGTAATTTAACCGAGAAATCTCGGTAAAATTATCGAACTTTCTCGGTAATTCTACTGAAACAGCCCGGTAAATCTACCGAGCCATGGTAATCATACCGGGCTGAACCGATTATTGTACCGCGTTCCTAGTAATGTCACTAGTAAATTTGCACGAAAATCCGCAAGTGCAAGCAGTTGAATTGTCCAAGTAAATTTGGCAGCAGTTGATGTGGTTTGGTTCCCTTCTGTTTGACACGCTCCAATTCAACCTCCAGTGCGTTAATTTTGGGTTCCTTTTTTTCGCAGCCAAGAGGTTGAAATTGGCTGATTCGAATGAAAATACAGCCGTTAATTTGTTTCATCCACGCGTGACTTTTGGAAGTTGTCGATACGTCATTCTTGGCCCCTCGCGTAAATTTTAGATGTAGAAACATGTTTCTCGGATCATCGGATGTTTAATTATTACCATGTCTAGTGCCTTTGTTCAATCGGCCTCTTTTGCAATGCCACCGAAATAAATTGACGCGACAAGTTTCGGGATGATTTTGCTCGGGCGCCGGACGATTCGTGCCCAAGTGCCGAAAGCACAGCGCGGTAGTTGACCTCACGCCCGCCCTCGCCTCGTTCAACTCATCAACCGAAAGCCAGATGCAAATAAACGCCCCGAACCCGCGACTTTCACGGCCCCAACACTGATAGGAATCTAGGGTTCATCAGTTTGTGGCTCTGGTTCCGTTTCGAGTCAACTTTGCGACTGTTTCCTTTTCCGATTAGTCAGGTACGACGGTCAAAAGGTTGCTCAACTCCAGTTTGAGGTAGAGTACCTGTATAGCGAGAGTATGGACAGATCGCTTCATGGAGGGCTTAGGGCCCAAAAGTGCAGCCACCCTTCTAACCAACCTCTAACGCACAAAATTTCACTGCCAGTCTGCAGGTACCAATTCTAACCAAGATGGCCAAGAATGTACAGAAATGAGCGTTCTTCCGCAAAATTGAGTAAATGTATGCAAAAACTGAGTCAAACACGTGCTTAATAAACGACGGTTCGTAACAATAGTATTAGTAAATCGTTCTGAATAATTGAAATTCATAAGTTGGCTGCATTTCTGGGCCCTAACTTCATTCGCAGAAGCATCGGTGAAGGCCTGATGGATTTTCGGAGTTTCACATCTGTCCATACTCTCGCTATACAGGTACTCTAGTTTGAGGTATTAACTTCGCCTTATATTATTCCCTCGGAGTGTTCGCCAACTCGTTATCAAAGCCAGCAAAAATTTCACTCGAGGAACATATAATTTTACACAATTAGTTTTGTCCCTGATAATTTGAGTTTTGCTAGAAACTCTGTAGCTTTGCTCTGTCAAACTGAGGAGGTATTCTGCCGTGCTAAGGAATAACGCCGGGTGAACATTCGAGAGTTGCCAAATTCCCTTCGATACAATGTTCGTTTTCGAGGAGAGTTAAGAATATTTTCCCTTGAAACTCTCAGGACTTTTCGGTGGAATTGCGAGTAAAATTTCAGCTGAAAAATTGACAGAAAAGTACTCATGAGTTCACCAGGAAATTCGAGTTTCGTCAAAGGAAATTTGGCAAGGTTCAAACGGCGTTATTCCTTAGCACGGCAGTGTTGTAGAAATTCTAGTTAAATGAAGTATTTCAGAGAGGGCAGCATTACCTGTGGATCTCATGCATGCGTGTATAATCTTTTATGTATGATTCATGTAATCATATGAATAGGTGTGGAATATGTAATGTAATTGAGTGGTTCAAAGAGAGTCTCTTTGTTTTGAACCTGATTGACTCAGATCATAAAGCGAGTGCGGAGACCATCATTGGTTCCTGAAAGTTGAAGAATTTAGAATATTTATGAGTTTCATGAGTGTTACCGCATCGCCAGAACGTGTCTTTTACTTTGTCGTTAGATCACGATATTGTAAACGCCTTCAAATGGTGGTGATACATCCTTGCCTTACTCAGACGTTAATTAAGTTGTATCGCTTGCCTTAGTTGAAAATATTGACGTTCGTTCACCTTGTATTCCGTTCATTAAATGTTTAAAGATCTTTGTTCAACATTGTTTTATGAAGTTACCTTTTAAAAACAGTTAAACAAAATCTTCAGCAATGTTTATTGCTCTGCCTACCATGAAACTTTGATCATGATAGAACTGAAGTATATTCTTTTTTACAAAGTCTGAGATGTCTGTAATTTTTGTCTCTTCTTATCGTGGTTCTTTCATGAGGTTTTAAATTTGGCACACAAACTCAGTCTTCTATTGAATAACCTATAATAAATATTTCCGTAGGGCACAGTCTAGCTGCTAAATTTTTTTCAAAGACGCTAGGGAAAAACTCAGCAGTTCACAAAAAAATTAATTAATCCGGTATGGTTCTTGGAGGCTATATATTCTGATCAATCTTATCATTTTTTGGTTTTCTGATTTCAGTAATTTCCCAAATATGGATAAGTTAGAAAAAGGACCGAAGGAAATATTTACGCCTGAAATTCAGAAGGTGAGTTTAAAGCTTTCGTAAATTTTGGTGAATGAAGCCTAGCCCTTTTTCAAATCATCCCTCTTTTGAACTCCATTGGTATAATTTATTTCAAATTTTAGTGTTTTTTTACGCAAGCAGAACATTTATCTCAATCTGATTTTGTTGTATGCAAAAAGAACGTAATATTGGTGAGGAAAACAAAAAAGAATGTATTTTCAAACAATCTGGTTAAACTTTGATGTTTTAAAATGACCTGTTTCAAATCCTTTCTCTAATTACTAAACCGTTTATTATTTCAGGATTTACTATTACTAGAAGAGCAGGAAGGGTCAGTCAATTTTAAATTTGGTGTCTTATACACAAAACCCGGTCAACCTACAGATGATGAGATGTTTAGCAATGGTAAGTAAAAATTGGCTCCCTTAAGTATAACTTCTCCGTAGATGAAAATGTTTATCTTGGAGGACGGTGCGCGGCTACTCTTTAGCTTAAACCAAATCGAGAACTGAGCTCTGAAGCAAACATGTACCACATCGCGAAAAATGATTAGCGTTTGGAACTTTTTGCAAAATTGTTCTGAAACGTTGAGACACAGATTTTGACATAGCTTCATGCGTCATAACGTCTCGTTCATAGTTTTTGAGTTATCAAACTTTTTAACATTGATTTCATCACGAGGTATGCAATGTACTAATATATTTTTAAATATGAAAGTTGAGTAAGAATCCCGTTTAGATTGGGTTAGTTCAGATCCACGACATTATTTCAAACAGCCCTTTATACTATTCCTGTTTAGAATTCAAGACACAAATTCTTCGTGATTGCACCAATTGTGTTGCTTTCATCTCGCATGTCCATAAATCATCAATTTTATACATTGGAAAATTGACAGATAAGAAAGACGAAAATCCTCAATGTTTCTGGCAGCTTTTAAGAATATTAAAATTTTGATCAAATTCACTTCAGATGTTCGAGGATGTTTTCTTTTTCCACGCTAATGCCAAAAGGGTTCTTTAAGAAATGATCGATAATGCTAATTTTGAAATTTGGGAGCATGATGTATCGCGCATGATGTAATCGAAGCGAAAATACGACACAGGTTACGGACAAGATCGCCAATCTGTCGCAGACGAAGGTTTCAGACATAACCTTTTTGAACATTAGTACCATTTTCCTCTTTTTTCCTGATTCTCTTTCCGCACGCAATAAATTCGAATCGCAAAGATTCTTCGCGGAGAGATTGATGAGGCGGAACTAGAAAGGGGCTGGTGGCGCTTGTCTCCCAGAAATCCCCTTTCATGGAATTTGAAGGATTTTGTTGGGAAACGCACAACATATCTTCTTCATCTTTAAAGTTGTAATTCAATAAATTTTACCGTGAAAACAACAAGAAATTGCTCCTGAAACGACTCAAGTTTTCAAATTTTTCCCGGGTGGACTCCTGAGGCTAAAGGCCCTTCTTTGGATATTAGGAAGCCCTCCCCCCCCCCGGATTATTATCGTGTGTCCGAGGAGTTCCTCAGAAGCCCTGGGGTGGGATATCTCTCTACACCTGCCTCGATGAGGTGCCTTCTCTCAGGCTCTTTCCCTCCCCATCTATCCCACCTCTTTTTCTCTTCATTTTTTTATCATGTCCGGAACCAGAGTGGAAACACTTTCTCGCAAGAAAGGCCGCTTAACAGGGCCCGCTCAGAATCTCTGCCGATGACTCCGAAGTGTGAAACCGTTCATTCCTGTACACGCAAACAAAATATTCGGTGCTGATAACAGAACCCTTTGTTCACGGGGCTCCTGCTCTTTCTTCGTTATTCTTACAGAACTTTTCCACTGTGAGAACAGAACTTCAGTCGTGAGCAGAGATTGTTCTGTCCTCAAAACGGAAACTTGTGTAGGATGTCCCAGGATTAAGTACGAATATTGAAGGAGTCGATTCTTTGGGTTAAGAAAGACGTTTTTCTGATATAAGTTATTTTTCAAAAACGCTTTCCCTGGGGACCACCGCCAACCTCCACCCCCTTCGCTCCCACCCGCGCATTTAGTTTCTATTATCTCGAAAGCGATGAGTCATAGCGAAAAAACGCAGAACACATTATCTCAATATTTTCTAACACTAAATCTAGTGGTGCCATCGAATATCAATTTTTGTCGGCAGAAATATTAATTTTGGCCACGTTTATGTTCGATACCCCTCCTAAATCCCCCATACAATGAATTTTCCCTTTTTTGAAGCTCAAAAATGAAAATAGCGCTAAAACTTACTCTTACTCACCAATTTTCATTGATGTTGGTTGATTAACATTGTTTCAGTGTTAGAGAGACGATTTTTCTCTCCAACTTTGGGGAGCCGTGTTCCCCAGGGAAGCGTTTTTGGAAACAAAGTTATACTTCAAAAACGTCTTTTTTTGACCCAAAGAATGGACTCCTTCAATATTCGTACTTAAACCTGGGACACCCTGTATAGCTGGAACAAAAAAAGTGCAGGAGCTCTGTGAAAAGAACTTTTTTTTCAGTGTAGTCCTGCTGAAACGCCGCCGTTTTCAGTGTTCCCCAGGCGACACGGCGAGATAACACTGACGCGGGCTTTCTCGCGCGAATCTGCATCATGAGCCCGGCCAAGGTTCCAATCGACTGAGCTTAGATTGGCGGCGAAGGGGACCGTCGGGGAGGGGCAGCGTGCGGTGGAGCGGGGTGTTAAAAGGGTAAAACACCCCTTTCCGTAGGGCCGGGATGAAAGATAGCAATTATACCCAGCGAAAAATTTCAGCTTTCACTTGGAGGTGCTTTCACGCAACGGCGCGGCGGTGGCGGAGGGACTGGCAGACGCCAGAGAGCTGTGTACACAATCGGCATGTTTTTATCTCGGCTACTTTATTTCCTCCCAATAACACTCCTTCATTCCGGCCGATCCCCCCCCCCCACTTGCGGCTCGCGGCTCCGCTTTTAGCTCTCCTTAACACCCTTTTGATCAAGACTGGCTATGGATTGCCAAACTTGAAGCTAGGATCCTTTCCTTGAATCTCTTTCCAGTTTCATATCACTTGACCTATATTTGACCGGATCTAGGAGAGGGCATTAAGTATTATTGGTGGGAAGAGTGCTGCCGTGTGAAAATTCAATAATTGCCAAACCCTCACCGATAAATTGTTGATTTTTTAGAAAATGTAATCATAATTATTGAGGGGCTCGGAGGACAAGGCGCATAACTCCAGTTTTTGAAAAAAATGAGTTATTAATGATTTCAAATAAAACTAGTCCTTAAGCACATTTTGTGAAAAATTTGCTCTCAAATTTCAATTTTGATGCATCATAAAGTCAGTTTGAACTTCCTCTCCGCCATAAGATTCATGTACTTTCGAAACTTGGAACACGTAGTTCTCGAAATAGCAAAAACTGCACTCGTGCGCCCTGTCCTCGAAGCCCCTGATTTGTCTTCTAATTTTTCGATTGTAGAAAGCTGACAAATGTACTCACCTTAATTAATTTACAATTAGATGGGTAAAGGCCTTTAATAAATCAATCAATCAATCAACCAAGAGCCCCCATTGTTATTGTTGTGCTTAGCTCAAGCTTACGAATGTAAATAATGAAAATTCTATGAACCTGTCCAGTTGAAAAAACTACGGTGAATCAACGGCTTTATATAAATGTGGCTATGTGATTATCCGTGTCAGGTTATTTTCAACCATGGAGCGGTTTATTAAATCAATATTATCACCTTATGAATCGTTGGAATTACTTGCACTAGGCAGAGGTACTTACGTTAAGTCACCAATATTATGGTGAACTCGTTCCCAATACTGCAGCACACTGTTATGACACACTGTTCGAATGAGTTATAAAGCTTTGAATCGAACGTACCTAGGCAGTAAAAGGTGATATGGTAAAGGTTAACATCATAAAAAAGTCGGAAGGGCTCACAAAATAGGTTCATGATAACGTTTTAGCGTCTTTTTTTACGAGACTGCTTAAAATTATGAAGCGTTGTCAAATTGAGAGATTTTTTCCATCTCTTTGGGTTTATTTATGTAGAATGACCCGAAAGTGATATTTGGGATCTTATTATAGTCTTTATAATAGCCATGGAGAAGTGTTGTGACGTACTGAAGCGATTTAGATGAAGCAACACTTCTATAAACTTATTGAAATATCAAATATTGCTTCGCAGGCGGAAAAGATTTCTAGATTCTCCGAGGGAGCCAAGTATGCATGCAATTAAAAGTACCTAGTGAAACACGAGTTTCTTAGAATGTTAGCTCCCCTCTAAGCCACATTGCGTAACTGATAGAAAAATCAAGATTATTCTGAAAATATACTTCGAGAATTTTCTAGAAGAGGTTTAGCGTACGATTGGAGTGTCGAGTTAAAAATTGTTGACCCTTAAAAATTTCAAATACTTTCTTTCTTCTCGTGTGTTTTCGAGCATAGAAAACAACCAATTAAGGGCAAAATTGATACCTTTTCTCTTATTTTATTTTATTTTTTTTTCTTCAAAGTTGGCTGTAGGATTTGATACTAGATGTTTTATTCGTTTAATTTGATTCAGAGACGAAATGAAAATACACAATGCACATCTGACCTTCGAATATTCTGATGATAGTCCGCCAGTCATACCTTATTACATTTCAGTCATTCTCTGCTGCTTGCTTCAGACGAGACAATCATTCCATTAATTAAGTCTCTCGGTATTTAAGTATACTGAATATAAACAATTGAATTGAAAGTGTCTTAAAATAATCTCAAAATTAGCATTATTCTTCTTGAGAGTCTTTGAATCCAAACGTGATTCTTAAGTATAACAATGCGATTTTTGGCTCAAAATATCAAGCAAAAAATAATGTATATCTTGTGGATCTGCTTTTTGTAATTTGAGGAATATTATTTCAGTAATAGTCAAAGAAAAGTGAATTTCTCTGTGGTGACTGGTGGCGCTATCTCTAATCTTGAATTATCCCTACTCGAACCGAGGATTCACCTTAACATCTTTAAGAATCCAGAAGGATATAAGCTTGGCAAATTTCGATCGTTTCATATTTGTCTGCATGTTTTAATTGTTACAGAGGAAGGAAGTGAAGAATTCGATAACTTTATCGATCTTCTAGGTGAAAAAATTCGACTAAAAGGATGGGATAAATACAGGGGAGGTCTAGATGTTAAAGGTAAGTTCTTTCCCTTAAGTCATACTTTGCCGACTTTTAAGAAAGAGCGGAATTTACGATTCAAGATGTACCTATCATTTCAAATAATCAGGCAAGATGTTTTAATTTACGGAAACGGAATATGTTAATTTCTTACTTAAGTTGAATTTCCGAACTCTACTAGAATTTTTAAAGGGAAAAATATGCGCTACTAAATCAACTAACCCTTGATATTACAATTAAAATGTATTTTGCATCGTTAAAAAAATTATACAGTTCTACTAAAAATTTGATAAGCTCATCAGTTTTAGGTATAGTTAAATAGTTAAATTGAGACGTTTCATCTCGGAGTAGAACAGTGAAAGAGTAGTCTACCTCTTTCCATTATTTGGATTTATTTACTCAATGGTGAATTAGGATTTTTCGAAGAAAATCTTTAGTACCATTTATCGCGGTAAACTTTGAAAGGCTGAAAGTTTTGAATAGCTAGAACGAATACTCAGAATTTGCCATAAACTGTAATTCTAATGTTTATGGCCTAAGTGTAAACTCTTATTAATGCTCCCCATATCAAATATGTTCTTTTAACCGCTTAAAACCTCTGTTATTACTAAATATTAACCGTTTCCAGGTGATATGACGGGTAAATATTCTGTCTATACCATTTATGAAGGTCATGAAATTATGTTTCATGTGTCCACGCTCCTACCATACTCAAAAGACAACAGACAGCAGGTAATTGACATTTCTACGCTTTATGATAACACTGATTGAATGACACAGTACATAGAGCCACTTTCACAGCGCTTTGCGACACCTGGCCTTCAAAATACCCTTTTCTTTAAAAGCCCTTCAGGGAGTTAGCACTCCCTCATTCCTTGCAAAAACCCCTGTCGCCACAGTTATGACTGGGCGTCCCCTTCATCTCCTCCCAGGAGGAACCCAGGAACCCAATGAAGCATCTCCTTCGGTAGCCATTCCTCTGTCAAATTTTGTTTTAAACTCAGTATACCTTACCGAAATTTTCGGTATGCTCAGGAAAGTTTAACAAGATCATTTTATGAGTTGTTCTCACTGTTTTGAGTGGGTCAAACGATTCAAAACTGGTCAGAAGTTTGTCGAAGATGAGGAGCACGGGAATCGATCATCAACGGCAACTAACACTTGTCACGTGGATGAAGTGCGGGCAAAAGTGCTGGAAAATGGTCGTTTCGAGCTTGCTGAACAGTGTAATATTTCTGAAGGCTCTGTACGTACAATTTTGATAGAATATGTAGACATGCATCGATTTTTAGGTACACTTGCCCCTTGATCGTTGTCCGTTGAACATAAATACAACCGAATGTCAATTTCCCTGTAGCTGCTAAAACGTTCAAACAATGATCCATACATTTTTGGATAGGATAATTTTCGGTGACAATACTTGAGTGTACGGCTACGATATGGAGACGAAACTCCAATTATTCTTATAGGTTGAAAAATGTAGTGCAAGACCGAAAAAAGAAAGACAAGTTCGGTCAAATATAAAAATCTCAAAACAACCATGAGGTTGCCTTACCTGCCCCGGACAAAAATAAGCCATACAAATTACCTAGGTATAGGCCGACTATAGAAAAACCCCTACGGTAAATTGAAATATGGCCTTTTAACGATAGGAATTTTCTATAGCCGGCGATTGAGAATTCCTATGGCTGGCTGTGGGAATTTTCAATTGCCGGCTATACAAAATTTAGGGGTTCGCAGCTAGGGATGGTGGAAAAGGGTTAATTGGATTGCATTTTATGCAAAAAGGAACCACTAGCATTCCAATGATGCTAAGATTGTGCAACTTCATCCTTTGCAATAAAATTGCGGAAATCGTAAAAACTATGAAATTTAGATGGTAATTTTTGTCTTAAATTCATAGTTTTTAGCGAGTAAAATAGAAACTATAATGGATAATCGGGTTTTTCCTCCAAGACAAAAGAAGTTGCACAATCTTAGCAACATTGCAATGCTAGTGGTTCCTTTTTGCAAAATGCAATCCAATTGTGGAAAGAGTCTTTGAAACCATGAAAAACTAGGGGGCCCTGCCCCCTGACCGCTACACGGCCCAACCCCCGGGAGGGCGCCTCGCGCCCTCAGGCCCGCTTCGCGGGCCCTATACGCATATGTATAGGCAAAAATGTTCTTCCATTTTAATACACCATTTTGTGTTCGAGCTGCATCGATTTCAAAATTTTTGACGTAACACTCAGATTTGTAAATGATGAGGAATAGCTGCATGTACATAATTTCACAGTCCACTTACTGGAGAAATTTCCATTTATTATGTTATTTTTAAATACTTAATTTAAAAAAAAAAATCGGATTTCGACCGTTAAGAGTTAATAATATTTGGTTTGTCCCGACGCGACGCAGCGCCTGCCTTCTCACTTTGTATTTGCTGTTTATCTGCTGTTATCTGCTTTTTTTTAGGAGTGACGATTTCTCTGAAGGGAATTTTTTTCGCGTATGGATAGGACATTTTTTAGACGGAGAATCAAGGAATTTTTACCATAATTCTATGTTTGCCATGTTACAGGTTGAGAGGAAACGGCATATAGGCAACGATATTGTCAATATTGTCTATCTGGACGGTGGAGCCGCTCATATGCACGAGTTCAATCCCTCCTTCATTAAGTCACAGTTTACCCGTATCCTTGTATTGTCCTTAATCATATCAATTTTACCAAACTTAACTAAATCATATTTTATATAATTACACGAACTATACTAATACTAAGTCGAAAGAACTCGATCCGATTCTCAAAAGCACTTCTCAAAAAATTCCGGCATGCTATTTTCTCAAGAGGAAAATAATTATGGATTAAAAATCATCATTTTATTATGCACCAAAGTTAAGTAATTAATATTTTTAAAATAATATTTTCTAGGATATTCTAGTATCAGAAAACTCGTGAAAAATTTCATGAAGTGCAACTTCGTATTTTTTTATTAGACATAATACCTTTTTCATTTCATCCTCTGTAATGCAACGTGTTGGGAAAGTTACAGTGTCTCGAACACCGACACAAGATTTATTAGCTTCAAGATCAATGTGTTACATATTTGCTGTGTATGGAGGACTTGGAAAATCTCACTTCCAACTTTTCCCCTAATTATCTTTGTTATTGAGAGAAAACGTCATATTTTGTTGGACAATCCTAACTAAGAATTATGACTTGCGATTTCTATACATGGTGTCCATCTTCAAAAAAAAACGGGCGGACATATTGAATTTGTTCAGAATACCTACCGTTTTGTAGTGAGTTAAGTTTTTATTTTTTAATGAAGTCCTGTGAGATTATACCTTCTTCCTGGCGGCGGAGAGGATTGAGTAAGTTCGAGTTGGAAGAGAAATCTCCGGAGCAATTTAAAACTTATCTGAACAAAGTTTTACCTCGTGTTGTGAGACTGCTGAGTTTTGAAATTCCATTTTCTACACGTATCGCACAATGAGATTTATCACTTCACTCGAGATATTCAGTAGGTAATTCAAATTTCAAACGATGAAAAGGTTGTTTAACCTGCTAGCGCGTTGAACCTGCAATTCTATCCCTTTAACTTTGAATTAATTATTTGTTTTATTTTATTTTCGATTTCTTTCAATGAAATGACGTCTCGTCTTTCCTCAAACAGCCTATGAGACAATGAGGTTATCAAGTGGCTCTCATCAATTACCACTAGGATATTTTTCTTAATGTTTGGCAACTTTTTTGGATGCTCACGGGGGGAAAAAAAGCTCGAGGTTTTTGGATGATATGGACATTTCCAATTAATTGTGGTAGTACCTCAATTAATTATGGTAGTACCCCAATAAGTTAAGTGACTAACCCAAATGTTGCGGTACTACGCAAACTTCAGTTGCGGTGCTAATACAATTAATTAGAAATGTTCATATCATCCAACAAATTGGTGTAGTACCACAATTTTAGGGGATAACCCCTGACACTTTTTTCCGTGATTAAAATATAAATTTAATATATTTTTTGTTTCCCCCGAAATTGTACAATTACCTTAACCTCCAAAAATCAGATGTTTTTGCCCTAGTTGCGTATCAAAAAGAAGATGAATCCTACCGACTCATCGTTTTTTCAGAAGAGTCTGTTCCTCTCTTTGGCCCTTCACTTCCTTGTCCAGCTTCTTTTAAGTCAAGGGAGGAATTCAGAGAGTTCCTAATTGTCAAATGTAAGTACTTTTTTTATATTCTTCTTTGAAATACGTATATAGCTGTTGTCAGAGCCTGAGACGGTGTGGTTACAACAAGGAGATTTTAAAATGCATGTTTCTCTACTTTAATTTGAGTCAACTTTTCTTCTCTCTTCTTCTTGGAAGAGCAAAAAGTTGGAAAAAGCGTTTGAGGTTATTCTACCCTACTTGACGCCCTTGCAACCTGAAGTTCTCTATAAATACATATCGTTATTTGAAGGAAAGCTAGACTTTTCCAGGACTATTTTAGTTTTCTCTGGTTATGTAATCTTTTTTATTTTGAAAAAATTTGAAGTGGTAAATGTTATGTTTGAATCGCCCGCCCCACCGGTCTAACCGTTGAGGGCAATTTCGTTTGTCCTTCTTATTCCCTTGGCTCCTGGCTAAGACGACTGTCTCCCTGATTTTTGTCTTGTCTACCTGCGTGCGCAATAAATCTCGTGGTTCGTCAATTCTATATTCGCATTTCATTTTCAGTCTTCCTTCTTGATTCCACCAAACATATCAGTGAAAGCTAGCAAATGTCGATTTATGGATGCCGTATTTATCAACTTCGACCTCCCCTCTCCCCTTTCTATCAACCCACTGCACCAACCCAACCCAGTGGCATCTCTGTTTATAGACAGCTATGCCATCGGATATGATTTTAAAAATAATAAAAAGCGTCTGTTCAAAACCTGGGCATCAATTCATACTGTGATATTTGATCATGCGATCATTCTTTTTTACGAGTAGGTAATTGCCAGAGTAATATGAGTACCTATTCATAATTGATTTTTGTTGAGACATTAATTTGATTTGAATTCCTTTCACTTCGACCAGAAGGTTTGAATATGAAGGAATCTAACTTTCAAAAATACGTTATCAAACTTCGAAATCTACTTCAAGCCAAACGGGCGAATAAATTGAAAATATAACTAGATTTTCTTTTTGCCTCGACTCGCAATCTAAGATCAAATGTAAAATCAACTTAAAAATATGTGTCGTAAATTATTTAGTTTTCCTATATGGTTATGAATTTATAAGTCAGGGTTTGGTTTCCTCCGTAGATTTCGGTCTGATTTTAATTTGTTTTAAGAGTATCGCACCAATTTATGAGATTTTTTTGTCCGAAAGCGTGAGTCAATCTCCAGTTGGAAGTACTTGAATGATTTGAAAAGTTTGCTTTTGTAACGAAACCCCGGAGTGAATGCTCGTCGAGTTCCTGTTTCTCTTACCGGCTGAAGGCTTTACGAGGCCCAGGCGTGAAAATCACCGGGAGGACAGTTGAAGCATTAAAAAGTTTCTCCATTCGGATTTATTAACTTTAGAGTCTCTTCCCCTAAATGGATCATTAAGCACCCCAGAAAATGGCCGCCCTGATGAATTCATATCACTGGGGACGAAAAACTTTGATTGGTTAACGTTGAAGAAGAGCTCTCGTGTTATAACAACCTTGATCTTTTTGAAACGCATCTGCAAAAGGAAGACTTTTATGAAATTATCTTCCTCTCTCTTCTCACGGAGAGAAATTTTCGTGCGCCTCTCAATGGTTCCTCCATAAATGAGACTCAGCATGTTTTGAGCATCGAGAGAAAGGAAGAGGAAATAAGCGGAAGCGTAGACCAATCGTGTGCTGTGCGATTATTTTCCAAAAATTTTCGTGATCCTTCATCTCCTCAATAAACTAAAAAAACAATAAAATTAGGGCTAACTATTGATAGGGCTCTAAGGTATGAATTAAAACACTACCCAATAAATTTTCTCTTCAAAATTTCACGACGAAAATGAATCACGCAAAAGAAAGTCTGAAAATCAACTCCTAAACAAGATTATAAGTGTTTACAATTAATATTGGTTAGCAAAAATACAAAAAAATAGCAAAAAAATAAATGACGTCGTTTGTATAATCGAACTTTCATCTGGTCTGTATTAAAAATATTTGCTAATATCTCGCTCAGAAGTTGGATTTCCGATTTTTCCATCGTATGATTCTTTTTCTACGGAAGATTCTGAAGAAAATTTATGTGACGTTAAAAAATTGCGGAGGCCCATCCCCTCGCTTGGACTCGGAATTAGCCCATGAAAAAGTCTTTCGTTTCGCGCCGAAAGGCAGGAAGGAAAGAGACCTTTGACTCCCCGTATTTATCGGAGGGCTTAATACATATTTCCACCCCTAATTTCTTGAGCCGACTCCTGGGTGCCTCTTTAACCGAATCTATGACACC